TAGAGTCCTTTAAAATTTAAGTTGTTATTTCTGTCATGGGTTGAGCCATGGAAAACAAGAGTGACCAAAGGGGGACATGCTTGTTTGATTTCTTTCCTGTCCCCCATCAGACATCTCTCCTGAATTTCCTTATGGGAGTGTCAGACAGAGGGTAAAAAGTAAGAGTAACAGCCTGCTTCAACAACCTGGAGCCCCAGAGACTGGCCTTCAGATCAGCAGCCCCACTGTGATGAGAGAGAATGCTAGTCCATCCTGTATGTATACTTATCCATTCTTCACATAGGAGGATTTCATAATTACAGAAATCAATTTTTCTTACCGACTCTGGGATTTCATCTAGGGAATTCAGGCAGGACAGATGACACTGCACTAGAAAATTAAAGTTGATCTTTGTTTCTTAAGCTGACTAAATAAGGATAGGAGCTAGAATTTATTAGTGTTTTGTACACATGGCAATACATTTACTCTGAAACTTTGATGGTTGCTTCATTTATTATTTCTGTTTGTTTAGAGCACCATCTTCTGTCTATATGTTGTAATATTTTTGGCCTTTCAAAGAGTATGATGTTACTAATCACAGAAACAATATAGTTTATGATGGTAATTTGGTTTTTCTTTTCACACTTATTTAAAACCTTGAAGTATTACATATAGCCCTTGGGTTATGGCTTTATCATACTCATTTTTTTAAAACATTACTATAATCAGCATACAGCTTTATTAGTAAGGTCTGAGTTTCCTCTGTAAAATAGAAATATTTGTACATTGAGTTGTTATGAGAAAAATACTTTGCAAACTGTAACGCATTATATAAATGTGAAATAATATTATTATTGTAAGTCCTGTGACCAAGCCTAGACTAATCTTAGCAATAAAGGCTTAAGATTTTTGAAAGAGGAAGGAGATAGAACAGCATGCAGAATGTTTAAGATGCCTCAGGAGAAGACCTGAGAAGCAGAATTTATGCTAAGGAGATAGTAGAATTCTTAGGTAAGTGGTTAGTGTATTTTGACAAGCCATAACATAAACCTAAAACCAAAACCTAGACCTATAGGATCTTGGAGGTCTTTTGGCCTAATGTTTCACCCAGTGGAGAAATCTTTTTGATAATATCTGCAGTAGATGGTCATCTAACCTTGATATTTTTCAGTTGACTGCTAGCTAACTACTTAATTAAACAGCCTTCTCCATTTTTAAGCTTCTCTTATTATTTGGGAAGTTCTTTCTTTCTTTCTTTAATCTAATTGCTTTTCTTTTTTTTTTAATTTTAATTTTTTTTCCCATATGCTTTTGAGTTGAAAAATTTTTTCTCCCTTTTTCTCCCCCCCACCCTCTCCAAGATGGCGCACAATCTGACATAGGCTTTACATTTACATACCCATTAAACATATTTTCACATTAGTGAAGTTGTAAGTAAAAATTAAAACCAATAGGAGGAACTATCAGAAAGATGAAACAAAACTCAACTGAAGGTAAAAATAAGTGAGAGCGATTCGACTTCCATAGTTCTTTCTTTGGATGTGGACAGCATTTTCCATCCCAAGGCCTCTGGAGATGTCTTCGATCTTCGTAATGCTGAGAAGGGTTCAGTTTAACATTCTTAGTCATTGCATAACGTGGCTGCTATTGTATACAAAGTCCTCTTGGTTCTGCTCACTTCACTCAGCATCAGACCATACAAGTCTTCCCAGGTTTTTCTGAAGTCAGCCTGTTCATCGTTTCTTATAGCACAATAGTATTCCATTACATTCATATACCACAACTTGCTCAGCCATTCCCCAAGTGATGGGCATCCTCTCAATTTCCAATTCCTTGCCACCACAAAAAGAGCTGCTATGAATATTTTTGTACATATGGGTCTTTTTTCCCATTTGTTTGATCTCTTTTGGATATAGCCCTAGAAGTGCTATTGCTGGATCAAAGGGTATGCACATTTTTGTAGCCCTTTGGGCATAGTTCCAAATTGTTCTCCAAAATGGTTGGATCATTTCACAACTCCACCAACAATGTATTAGCGTTCCAATTTTCCCACATCTTCTCCAACATTTATCATTTTCCTGTTTTGTCATGTTGGCCAATCTGATAGGTGTGATGTGGTACCTCAGAGTTGTTTTGATTTGCATTTCTCAAATCAATAATGATTTAGAGCATTTTTTCATATGACTATAGATGGCTTTAATTTCTTCATCTGAGAACTGCCTGTTCATATCCTTTGACCATTTCTCAATTGGGGAATGGCTTGTGTTCTTATAAATTTGTCTTAATTCTCTATATATTTTAGAAATGAAGCCTTTATCAGAGAGACTGGTTGTAAAAATCCTTTCCCAATTTTCTACCTTCCTTCTAATCTTAGTTGCATTGGCTTTGTTTGTGCAAAAACTTTTCAATTTAATGTAATCAAAATGATCCATTTTGCTTTTCATAATGTTCTCTATTTCCTGTTTGGTCATGAATTCTTCTGTTCTCCATAGATCTGATAGGTAAACTATTCCTTGTTCTCCCAGTTTACTTATGGTATCAGCCTTTATATCTAAGTCCTGAACCCATTTTGACTTTATTTTGGTCTATGGTGTGAGATTTTGGTCTATGCCTAGTCTCTGCCATACTCTTTTCCAGTTTTCCAAGCAGTTTTTTTCAAAGAGTGGGTTTTTATCCCAGAAGCTGGGGTCTTTGGGTTTATCAAATAATAGATTACAATAGCCATTGACTACTGTGTCTTGCATCTTTAACCTATTCCACTGATCCACCTCCCTATTTCTTAGCCAGTACCAAACAGTTTTGATGACTGCTGCTTTATAATACAATTTAAGATCTGGAATTGCTAGGCCACCTTCCCCTGCATTTCTTTTCATTAGTTCCTTTGATATTCTGGGCCTTTTGTTTTTCCAAATGAATCTTGTTATTATTTTTTCTAAGTTCTTCTTTCTTTTGACCTGAAATTTGTCATCTCATAATATATATCCTGTTGTTGCTAGTTCTTGTCTTTGGAATACTTTAGGACAAGGCAGTCTCACCTTCTATACCCCAGGTATCAGAAAGAATGTAATAATGGTCTTCAGCTACCTGAGGAGTTGTGTTCTTTTCTCCAAACCAAACAACTGAAGTTCTTTCACTTGTTTTTTAGGTCATAAAATTTCAAGATCCCTTATCCTGATAATTTCTAGTTTGTCAAGATTCCTCCTTTAAAAATGGGCACATGCTGTGGAGCAATGTACATCATATATGGTTTAAACATTATGGAGCACAATAAGACTGTTATTTCCTGTAACTGGAATAGTCTACTGTTAATGCAGCCTAATGCAACTTTTTTAGCAATCATGCTACACTGACTCATTTGGTTAAATGGACGCCCCAGGAATTTTTGACATGAACTGCTGCTAAATCATGTCAGTATACAGAGTTGTATAATAGGCAAGTAATCCTGTGCATGTCATTTTCCAGTGCCCTCAGACAACTCTCATGATGACATAACAATTAGTTCAGTATCCAAACCAAGAGAATGATTATTGGAAAATAATTAAGGAGCTCTCCAGTGATATGCACTAGATTCTCTTAGAAATGAAGACAGAAAAACACAGTTATCAGATTTTAAAGTAACACAAGATTAAGGGGAATAACTAATATTTCAAAACCAAAATAATCTAGAACCAGATCAAATTTAACAGGGATTGACATAAAATATTGTACTTAGATTTTAGAAATTTAATTGCAAACCTACCAAATACAGCCTAGACTACTGTAATAATCTCCTTATTAGTTTGGCTTCCTACTTACTACCTTAGCTCCAATCCCTTTTTCATTCTGTCACCAAGGAGTCACTTTCCTAATTAACGAAAGCAGAATATTGAGTTTGAGTGGGAAATTCAATTCAGTATTTATTAAATGTTGGCTATATATGAAGGGGCAGCTAGGTGGCTTAATGGATAGAGTGCCAGGCCTGGAGTTAGTCATCTTCCTGAGTCAAATCTGGCCTCAGATACTTACAAGCTATGTGACCATGGGCAAGTCATTGAACCTTGTTTGTCTCAGTTCCTTATCTGTAAAATGAGCTGGAGAAGGAAATGGCAAACCGCTCCAGGATATTTGCCAAGAAAATCCCAAATGTGGGGTCATGAGTCAGACATGACTGAAAAGTGATTGAACAGCAACAACAGCTATATAAGAGGGATTGGGCATGTAAAAACAAAACAAAAAATACTGAAGGAACTTAAAAGTCTAATATGGGGTGAGGCACATATGTAACTATAATATAAATCATTGACTGAGGGGTTTTGATCAGAGAAATTCCCTCTGACCATTAGGAAGATTACTTTGGCAGTAGTAAGAAGGATGGAAATTACATGATCATAGAATGAGACAGGTTGCAACCTTGGCAAAGAATATAAGATTTTCTCTTGAGTTTGGAAGAGATAATGGGTGAAGATATGGGCATTTTGAGAAGGGAACTTGAGGGAGCTCTAACTGTATGGTTCCTGTATCCTCAGTGAAGTAGAAGAGTTGACCATCTGCTGTCATTTTGGGGATGGAGAGTGTGTTCGGGGACCTGAACATAGAGAAGAAGATTTGGAACAATTACCATGGAGAATGGGGAAAGGATTGCCTAATGAGGGCTCAGCTAAAGTTATGGGCACTGTAAATTATAGTAGTTGGAATCAGCATGACCTCATTACTTATTACAATAAGTAATATCCCCGTCATTGGTCAAGAAAAATGCCAATTAAGTTAGATTATTGTGGTTACCCAGTGTTAACGATTAATGGGTAAAGAATGGTGCAAGTTCAGTGGGAGGCAGGATTCTAAGACGGTAGCCACTCAATTATTTTGATCATAGAGTAATGACTACAAATGGAGGTAAGTTAAGCTAGAGTGGGAAGGTAAGACTAAAAAGAAGTAGTGATTAGAGGTAAACATTTCTGGAATTGGGTGTAGTAGTACAATGTAACCATTGTATTTTAACATCTGAAACAGAATTTTAATAATGCTTTCTGTTTCATTTTCAGGCATGCATTGATGATAATGTTGATATGGTGAAATTTCTGGTGGAAAATGGAGCAAATATTAATCAACCTGATAACGAGGGCTGGATACCACTACATGCAGCTGCTTCCTGTGGATATCTTGATATAGCAGAGTAAGCTAGTTCTGTATTCTTTATGTTAATCTGAGATTTATACATTGCTGGTGTTTTAAAGACCACCTGAGATTTCATAGGAATCCCTGTATAATCTAAGGAAGTTGGTTGTACTCTTTGGTATTACTTGACCTTGGGGGTTAACTCTCCTGAATAGAGAGCTTTCTTAGATGTCCATATCTGTAATATTTTAGTCTCAGCGTCTCTCAAATGGTGTGAAGCACTTTTTCCTGCAAAGCAGAAGGTACCTCACTTGTAACTTTGTATATTAATATTAACTACTTTATATATTTCCTTTTAAATTGTTTCTGAGAACTATGGTGTTACCTATTTTATCTTTTCAATTCTTGATTTACTTGCCCATAAGTACCCCTGAATTGATAGGGAGCTTCATTTTCAGTTTTTAACTGGGCTACTTTTGGAAGAGAAAATGATCCAGATTTATTTTGACTATAACTCTGTCATTGAACAAATATTTCTTTGCCAGATGAGTTTGGGGTGGTTCCCTAAAAACTGCATTCTTAAGTGGCTCTCCATGAATTGCTGCTTCCTAAATAATCCAGTTTTTCCAGCTTTGATGTGTATATCATTGTTTATCTACAAAATATGTTTCTTGCATATGATGATGTAGAAGAAAATAATTTTTTAATATTGCATATTATTGTATTCCGTTAATTGGTCAAGGTAGTAATATGAGAAAGGGGCCTGAGGAGATTGTGTGGTAATTTATCTGTCGTTTTTAAACCAAACAGGCACTGTTTTTTTTTCTTTTATTTTTTAAATAATTTTTTATTGATGTCTTCTGTTTCTTATGTAATTATAGTTATCCTCAGCATCCCTCCCCTTTCCTCTCCCAGACAGTTGTCTCATATCACAAATAGTATTTTTAATGAGAAAAAACAAATCAGTTGGTTTTCAAATGATTGATACATTGAAAAGGTCCCCAAACATGTGTAATATGTAACACCTGTGGATCTTCCCACCCCTACAAAGGGTTGTGGGTGTTTCCTCTTTTCACTCCAGTCAGATTTGATCTTAATTTTGTTACATTCACTTTAAAGGGGATAAAGGGGTGGTGGTAGTCTTTCCATTTACTATTTTGTACATTGTTTTGTTGACTCTGCTTCCTTCACTCTGTATCAGTTCATGTAGATCCTTCTATGCTTCTCTATTCACACGTCCATCATTTCTACGGCACAGTAATATTCTATTGTATTCATGTACCACAGTTTCTTTAGCTGTTCCTCTGTTGATGAGCGTTTGTATTTTAGCTACAAACTCAGCCCTCCAAGATCAACAGCATTTCTACATAATAATAAAACTCAGCAAAGCAAAAATATGAAGAGAAATCTCATCCCAGATAACTACAAAATGCATATAATTGATTGACCTCCCAAAACATGCTAAAGACTTGTATAGATTCAGTTACAAAGTACTCTTAAAGAAATAAAGAACAAATTAACTAGCTTGAGGAATATTCAGCAATCGTGGGTTGGCCTGCCAGGATAGTATAAATTACAATGCTACCAAAATTAGTGTGTACTTCTGATGCTATACCAATGAAATTGTGAAGAGAGTACTTTAAGGAACTTGAAAAAATAATAATTCATTCAGAAAATAAAAAGATAAAGAATATCAAAGGAAATTATGAAAAGAAATAGGAATGAAGGGAGAAGTAGCATTTCCAGACATCAGACTATATTGTAAAATAACAGTTATCAAAACCATAGGTTAAAAAAAAGAGATAGAACAGTGGAACATACTAGACAAGGGAGCATCAGAAACCATGAAACTCAATCACTCAGTGTTTGATAAAGTGGAAAACATAAATTACCTATGGGAAAAACTCCTTATTTGACAAAAGCTGCTAGGAAAACTGCAAAAGGGGCTGGCAGAAATTAGGCTTAGACAAACAGCCTTACACCGTATTTCACAAAATATTCTAAATGGTTATGAGATCTTAATATTAAAGATCATTCTGTTTAAAAAATTAGAAGATGTCATATACCTCTTAAGGCTATGAGTAGGAGATATATTCATTTAATGAAACAAGGAATAGAGGTCGTTGTAAAAGATAGAATAGATAACTGATCACATGAAACCAAAAAGCTTTTGCACAGACAAAATTAATGTGCCTAGGATAAGAAAAAAATACGCTTTTTTCAAAAAGTAAAATTCCAATTTTCATTATCCTGGATTATGTTCATATATTTCATATCAGCAAATAATAATTGCTCACCTTTCATGTGGTACCTTTAACTAATTTTTCTGCAGATTTACAGTTCATTTTGAATTTGTAGGTATTGAGCTCAGCAAAGGCAAATGTAAAATGTGGTTTCACGTTTCTTGAGGAGACCCCATCTAATTGGTGCTATAAAACTACTACAGATAAAATGGTTAAATATGTATTTTTTTTTAAAGATAATGTGTTCCCAGAATGATATAGTAGGGAACTGAGATTCAGGAAACCTGAGTTCAAGTCTGCTTTTTAGTATTCATGTGACTCTTTAACAGGTCACTTTGCATCTGGATTGTAAATTTGGTTGGGCTATGACAGTTTCTGATTCCAAGTCAACAGATATCTGTTATAGATAAGTTTTGTAAAAGTTCAGAGAACAAGGACATTGGTGTAAGAAGGACTTAGAAGAAAATGCTTTATAAAGGAGGTTGAACCTGATTTCTACTCTTGGATAAATTATTTAATACGTGACTTAATTTCCTCATCTGTAAAAAAGGGATAACAACAATACATTCATAGGATTCATATAGTAGTGTTCATGAACAGTACATTTCCTGAATATTTATTAAGTTCCTACTATGTGTACAGTACAGTGCTAGGCCCTGCAAATAGCAAATGACAAGTATCTTCTTTTAAATAGCTTACATACAATTTGGAAAGTGCCCCATATACAAGGATGCAAAAATACAAAGTACTTTCAGGAGCACAGAATGGCAACAATTTAGGTGAGAAGAGGGAATCAGGAAATGTTTCACATAAGAAGTGTGCCCCGACCTAAATAAAGCTCATAAGAAGGAGCAGTAAGGAGAGTGCATTCTGGGTATGGGAAGCATGTTTGTGTCTTTGGAGCTGAATTGATTTTTAAAACTTAAATAGACAACTTCGGGGGATGGGGGGGTTACCAGAAAGATGACTTCCTTGCTTTAGGAAATTACCAGTCGTGAAACTCCTTTCCATACAGATCGATAACTCTTCTATAGCTTCTATCTGGAGGGTTGCTTGGGCATTGAGAGGTTAAGGGACTTAACTATGGTCACATAGTCAGGATGTTTCATTTCATCCATCTTTATTTATTAACATAAATTTCATTTTCTTATGATCTGGCATCTCAATCTGTTGACATCATTCTTACGTCTTCTCATATTATTTATTGCTCCCAACTTGGTGCCATCTACAGATTTGCTTTAAAAATGAAACAAAACACTAGTGATGTCATCTGCAGTAACATTGATCTGTTATTCAGTATTCTTTGGAAATCATTATTAAACCAGTAAATTCACTCTACTATCATTTATGTGTTGAGAGGAAAATCATCTTGACCCATCTAGTTTATAAAGATAGTGTTTCTTATGAAAGAAATCACAAGTCAGCATGATGCAGTGCAAAGACAGTGGGCTGGATTTAGGCTCTCGGGATTTGGGTTGAGGTTCTGCTTCTGCTACTTATTATCTGTGGGACTTTGGATGTGGCCCTTAAGGTTTCAATTTCTTTTCTCTACTTTTATTTTCTTCTTTTTTTTAATCTGGATTTAACAAACATCAAATAAAATAAGCATTTCCATATACATTGCAGAGCAAAAGGAGCTTGTACATGAAAATTCAATTGTCCATTATGTATAGCTTGCTTTTTTTTTTTAAAGTATCTAATAATTCAGCATGGTACTCCCAGCACTATCATAGTTATCTGTGGTCCTTCTGGCCTGCCTTTTTTGGTTGTTGCTATTATTTTCATGGGTTTTTTTCATCCCTTGGGGAAAAAAAACCCAGTATCCCTAACATAACCCCTTTTCCAAAATGGTTGGACCAGCTGTATGACCCTGGGCAAGTCACTTAACCCCAATTGCCTAAAAAGAAAAAATAAAATGAAAATACCAAAATGGTTGGACCAATTCACAGCTCCTTGCACATTAATATGGCTGTTTTAAGGAGGGAAAGACATAAGAATTAAGGAATAAGTGGGATTATAGATGTGCCCCTACTTTGTCTACCCAACACAATTAAATTCGGAATTATACACCCCTTGTAAGGACTTTTCTCGCCATAACATTCTAAGTTTACTGGTAAGGAACGTTGAGGCTCAGAGATAAGAGATTTGCAAAGATCAGAGCTACTGGAAAACATCTTCTAACTCCGAGTCCAGTGTTTCTCATGCTATACCACTCTCTTGAGGAATAAACCTTAGTAATTATCTTATTTATTGTATTTCTACTTCCATATTACTAAGATTTTAAAAATATGTATGTACATATATATATGTGTGTGTGTGTGTACATACACTCACATACTTGGAAAATAAATGTTACTTTCAACACTGTCCTACTTGTCTGTACTTTCTTCTGAACTTCATTTTTTTCTATGAATTTTTAAATTTTTTTTATTCATTTTGAACTTAAATACAAATAGAGAGAACATATCCATATATACAGCATAACATGAAAAAGAGGGTTCAATATAAAACTGTGAATTTCATTTCACACTATTTACCTTTTTTGATAAACTGTGTAATAAATACCACACATCATTTTCAAAGCTACCTTTCTTTTTTGTTCTTCCTTCTAAGTTTTCTTTTGTTCTCTGCTGTGTACTTTTTTTCTCCCTCCCCACTGTGCCCTACAGAAGGTCACAATTAGACATACACATACACACATGCATGTACACACGTAAAGTCGTACTATACATACTTAATATTTATCAGTTCTTTCTCGGGAAGTGGATAGCATCTTTCTTCAGAGATCCTTTGTAGTTGATTTGGTATTTATAAT